AAAAAAAGCAAAAAAAACCCAAAAAAACCGCTAATCAATTTCAAAGTGGTATCTCCAAGCAGTGTAGATGAAGTCAGCATCGACAAACCATGTCACAGTTACAGATCCCCTTACAGTTACATGTATTTGGTTTACTCTCAGAACGTCCGCCCGCTTATCGGTGAATTCTGTCTCGTAAATCCTGAAGGCTTACTACGCTTTAGGTGCGGAGTACGGTAGGCTTTGTCTTTCGAATACCTCCACAAGAAAAAGTCACAATGGGGAATATAAGAAGGTGAGGTGAACTGGTGGATTGCTCAGCGAGGATAGCATCCAGAGCACCACAAGCCCGCTGTATAATTCACTGTTAAGTCAGTCGTGGTGTAGCAGGCACATTTCTGGTTTGATCTACGAAGAGAGAAGAGTTGTGCTCTTGGTTGTGCTTCAGGTCTTCCTCGAAAATATTTTTACCAATTAGCACTTACTTTCTTGTTGTTGTTTTTTTGGTAAAGTGTTTTACGGCGCTCGCAACTGCATAGGTCATATAAGCGCGCGGGACACACCTAATATTTGCGGGTGGCGGCCGAAGCCTACTCTTATCGATTTTAGACCACCAAGGGATCTTTAACGTGCGCAACTTGCACACGGGCCCTCCGAGATTTTTCGCCCTTGTCCGAGAAGGCTAGGTGTAGATCTTTCTTACCAGAAGATCAGGGGTGTGGCAGAAAGACAGCAGTAAGGAGGAGCCAAGGAGTAGCAGTAGAAAGGCTGCAGAAAGAGTCAGGAGCCCAGAGGAGGGGGCAAAGGAGGTGAGGGGGTGGGGGCAGAAAGTGGAACTGAAAGCAGACAACAGAACATTGCTAGAGAGCAGGAAAGGATTTGAAAGGAGACAATATTAGAGAAGAAAATTTTTCGGTCACTACCCGGATTCGAATCCGGGACCTTTGAATGAGAGGCCAACACCTTAATCTCTAGGCCACGAGAGCCCCCTTCCTGGTTTCAGACTTGGTATTCCCACTAACAATGAACAAGTTTTCCGACAATAATACATGTATTATCTAAATTATAGGCCTATTTTTGTGTCACGACACGGTGGTATCGGGCGCTCGTCTATTTCGGGGCTTGGGGTTATAATATTGGTATATAATGTAATCTTAAAGCTAATTGTCCACTTGTTTCGCTTTTGATGAAAAAAAAATAGCCGTATCCATCTTAACTAGAAGTCGAGATATAATTTGCAATTGAATGAGTTGGGGTTGCTTGATATCAGACGTAGGCCCTAAATAAAAAAGAAAATGGCTAGCCTACTCCAAAGTTTGGTGACTTCCAAAGCTATAGGCCTAGCTGTAGATATCCTTGGAAGTTACAACTTAAAATTTTTGTGTGCCTATGATGATAAATGTTTTTCTCAGTAAATTCCAGGCAAAAATGTGTTATTAAGTGAACATAAATGGTGTTGATTGGGGGGAAAATCGATAGATCTAGATCGCCGCGGGCTGAAAAGTATGAGTTTCTTCAATTTCATTATACTTTTGTATGCATGTATTATATTGACAAGCCCCTGATTTCACCTCGAAGCAGGGGCGAAGGCTGACCTGTTTGACAGGGTAATCAAAATGAGATGGGACCAGATAGGGCCTGGAGATATCACACTCACACAAGTCACATGAATCTTACTGGCACTGGAGGCGGCAACTCTGAGTTGTGAATGAAAACAAATCCTGAATTCATGTTGTATTGTATGCATATTCAACCGCTAAAATAATCGGGAAAGTATTTCATTAAATATTTATTCTAACTAACCTTAAATTTAATTTTAGATTTGAACACACGAACACCAAGGAAAAAAGCAGAGATGTCAGTACTACAATGGCATGTTATACCAGACAGCCGAAACACTTTGGTAGAGCATGCCAATTATTAATTTATTTCACATTTGGCTGTTTTTTGTCTAGCTTTTCGTGGCCAGGAGCCGGTGTCATAATCGAGGTCACGATCTGATCATAGGAGGACGTTAAAAAATCGAGGGAAAAAAACAAGCACTCGCAGCAGTCAAGATATTATTAGGAGTTAGTTCCCCTCACATTTGTGAGGTAGACTCGACCAGTGTAATAGTTAGCTTACATAATCAGCGGGTGTGGCTACTTATAACTGTGGCTCGAAAGGGGTGAACAGGATGTATGCGGCAATGAAACAGTTTTGACTGCCATGCACATGTTCCCTTCAACTCTATCTCTAGACTCTTCCAGCCTCACTTTAAACTTACTTAATCAAAGCTTGTGACTGCTTATGGAGTGGCCCGATAGGGGCGAACAGGTTACATGTATTTCTGTGGCAATGAAACGGTTTTGAAGGTTAGGCATAGTCTATTGTTCATTGGTGATTATGAACGTCTTTTTACATTTAATTTATGAGGTTTACGTCTATCTATGGGTGAATTTGACAGCGACAATGTTTCAAAATTAGGAAGGGAAGCAGTGATTATTTGATTATATAGACGCTTCGCCTCTGCCCCGAAGCAGTATTTAATTTATACTTTCACGTTGTCTTATGTGTTTGATTGGCTTTTTCAGTCATTACTCACCAATTATAATATAAGCGACCTAATGTTTGGTTATAACAAGCACCCCTCTCTATACAACAAACCTACAGAAGGCCACTGCAGACTTAGGGTATGTCTCCTTAGCCTATGTCTCCTAAAAGGCTGCCGGGCCATAGAAACTCATGCTTCATGCCTCACGCTCATGCTTCACGTCTAAACGCGTAAGTGGAAAAATGAACAAACGTAATCTTATTTGCGGTGGGCCATAGACCTCCACTCACGTCTCACACTTCACGACTCATGCGTGAAGCTAGAAGTGAACATGTTCACTTTTTCGAGACGTGAGTCCGGGGGCAGACTGGATATCAGAGCGTTTCGCACATATTTCCTCGAATTGGTCCAGTTGGAAATTGGAGTTGCTCCAGGCACAAGCTAAATCCCTAACTGCAAGTGCAAGGTAGGCCTAAATTTGTACGATTAGCAGCCAGCTAGTGTAACTCCTATTGCATGAGTTCAGAAGCGTGCTGTTTGCGGACAAATCTAAACCCTGAAAGTTTTTGAAGCAGATGAGTTTTCTGATTGCCATCAAGGCCAACAGATCTTCGATTGGAAACCTTCCTGAGGCTAGTGACGAAGAAAGTACAGACATTTTACAAGCTGCTATCAAACAGTATTATATGTCGTCCCACAATATCTTTGCACCAATTCCAGCACCCACCCGCAGTGTCATTACGTCACCATCAACCCTCAGCAGTGCCACAACATCAGCACTAACATCGCCATCTTGCTACCCTCCTACTGCTCTCCACCATAGCCAAGGACAAACTCCGCAAAGTTATTCGCCCATGTCATTCTGGCAGACCTCCTCGCCATCAGAACACTCCCTAGCTGGCACGAGATCTCATGGTCCTCAGGACTATTCATTTCACGATCAGAGTAAGAACAAACAACAATCAAGTAGAGCCTACCACTTAACGGGACATTGTGACCTAAACCTTTTCAAATTTTTCATTTTTGTTTTTTGTTTTTTGTTTTTGTTATGAGTATGAGGTCATGTCAGTGTATCTAAAAAACATAAGATAATTAAATTTTACCCTTCAAAAACATTTTGGAATTTTTGTGTGGCCTTTCTTTTTTATCGGCGGGGGGGTGGGGGTGAGGTTGTTTCGATCTACTTTTTTAATGTGGTCATGTCAGTGCATGCTTATCTGACAAACATACTTTGACTAGTAATTACCTCAGAGTTATGATGAGCTTTTGTTATGCTTCGAAGTTCGATTGGCCTCCTCCAATTTGAATGGTCTGGCTTCAGATGTCCTAGCACGAGGGATTTTAATGTATTATAAGTCTTGTACGACATCCTAGTATAATTATTATTTTTTTTAGTTCTTCATCAGGATTGTCCACGAGGTGTTGAAATGTCTGGTGAAATTCTCCTCTGGATTCTCTGAGCAAAAAATGCTCCGTCTCTTCCGCTTCCTTCTTCTGAGACAACAAAATCAACAAATCTTCCTCGTCAGATGATTCCATTTTGAATGCGCAACGCAGACTCGTGTGTGAAGCGTGAGAGCATAAGCCCCTATGGCCCAGTGGGCCGTGAAGCATGAAGCATGGAGCATGAAGATGAAGTATGAAGTATGAAGCGTGAGGCATGAAGCATGAGTTTCTGTGGCCCAGCAGCCTTATACGGAGTGCCCACTACGGATGGGATCGGCCGATCGGGGCGATCGCCTCAAAAACAAACGTGTTTGTTAATGTTATCAGTTTCAGGCGATCGAGTCGGGCGATTCCAGCCGTAGTGGGCACCCCGTATTATGCGCAACGCGTCGTACTCAGCAGTCGCTAGCGATGAGTCGCGAGGTGTGTATTCTTATGCGCGACCGCATCACACACCACACACGACGTGTCGACCGGATCTCCTTTTCTAGGTACAGTGGAATCCTGTTATAACGAGAGGGAGGGGACCGCAGCAAAATGTCCGTTATAGCAGGATTCTCGCTATAAGGGATCCAGTAATAAATTCAAGGGAAACTGTAAAGTAGGCCTAATCTATGAGTTTGGTGTTCCATTTCCTTTTGCTATCTCCGCTGATAATGATTTTGTTTCAAAATGACCTCTAGGTCTTACTTGATAAAAATCAAATCAGATTTCTTTCTCTTGCGCTAGCTCCAGCGATGTGGACTGACACTGTCAGCGACAGCTCGGCGTTGGGGATCAGATAGAAAGGGCTCTGGGCTAACTCGCCCGCTGTGTTTTCCCCACCCCACCCCACGGTGCATTCTGTCAGCTTGCGCACGTCACACATTCGCTCCATCCATCACATTGCTGTGACCTCTCCTTCCCCGCATCAAAGAAGTGAGAGGCATGGTAGGCCTTGATTATCTAAACTAGTCTTACGCTGGTATATCACGCGATGCGTTCTGCTTGTCTGCACTTGCCACACCCTCCCTACTCTACTACTCAGTTGCTCCGGCCTTCATTGTTGACGCGCGTGGGCTCTCCTATTCTTTGTTACGCTAGATCACCAACAAGTTTCTCAATTGGCGAGGTTTTGCATTTATGTATATAATTGGACTATGTGCTGTGCTCAGCAGCAGCGATATTCCGCAATACTCGACTCGCACGTTTGTCTGATAGTGATAGCGCTATAGGAGTATTTTATTTACAAAGGTAAAGAGGAGGAAAAAACGGTGTTTTACTAGTTTTAGTTCTAGAATAGTGTCTTTGCAGACTTCTCGTTTTTTCCGGACTCGTTATAAGTGGACTCCACTGTATTTTGACCAATGATGATGTTCTTCTACATCTGTCGTCACACCCCTAGTCTGGCGCGCGCTACGAGGTCTCGATCGCTGCATGAACTGATCGCGGGCGACGGCACGCGATTAGACGTCCTCTTACGTGTAAGGAAGAAGCAAACCACACCAGAGCACCCGCCAACCACCCACCCAGTGCTTTTGTTTTAGTAGAGGTTTTACGGCGCTCGCAACTGCATGGTCACATGAGCGCCAGAAGATTAGAGGTGTTACAAGAGAGTAACAAACAAAAAAGAAGAAGAGGAGATAAGGACGACAGATATTTCATAGGAAAGAAGAAGCAAACCACACCAGAGCACCCGCCAACCATCCACTGAACTCTTTTCTTCCCTTCTTGAAGATGCTGTCCCCGTCGTTTTATGCGAGAAAAATTCTGAAATGATGCAAACTGAGCCAAAAATTTGAAATTATTATTCGATTCTGTTGATTTTTTAACAAAGATTGATAAAGGAAAATAATCAGAAATTATACAAAAAATGATCAGATAAATTTGCTAAATTATGCGGGGTGCTTTCTATCACTATAATTTATGAAGATTACTGTAGAAAGTCTGTTACAGATCTGCCACTCTATGAAACCTCAAAATCAGGATCTCATGGAGAAAAAAATCGGGATTTGGTGAAAAAAAAAAATCGGGATCAACAGCAAATCACCAAGGTGACGGCCAAAGCTGACTTAAAATTTTTCCACGGGTGTCCAAAAATTCCTTGGCCTATATGCCCTCTGTGTGTCTTTGTTTGCGCGCGCGTGTGTGCGTGCGTACGAGCGAGTTATCATTATTTTTTTGTAAATCCTGAAGCATCGCGTCTAACCCCCCCCCCCCCCCCCTACCAATAAGTCCCGAAATACATGAACTTAAGTTGACCCCTTCAACTATACGGACGGTCCCCGACACGCAGAACTCACACGGCGATGATAGGTCACGTGACGCGAATGAAACTATTTTACTAACGGGTCCGACTAACTGCTCCGGGTAGCGACCGAAAAATTTTCTTCTCTAAAATTGTCTCCTTTCACCTCCTTTCCTGCTCTCTAGCAATGTTCTGTTGTCTGCTTTCATTTCCACTTTCTGCAACCTTTCTACTGTTACTCCTTGGCTCCTCCTTACTGCTGTCTTCTTTCTGCCACACCCCTGATCCTCTGGTAGAAAGATCTACACCTAGCCTTCTCGGACAAGGGCGAAAAATCTCGGAGGGCTCGTGTGCAAGTTGCGCACGTTAAAGATCCCTTGGTGGTCTAAAATCGATAAGATTAAGAGTAGGCTTCGGCTGCCACCCGGGCAAAATTCAAAATTTCCTACCAACTGAAAATATTAGGAGTGTCCCGCACGCTCATATGACCTATGCAGTTGCGAGCGCCGTAAAACACTTTACAATAAAAACAAACGACTAACTGCACATTCACACAAAACACTCGGATGAGCGACAGTCGTTCTACTTCTAGAATAACGACGGCGGCCGACCAACCAAATGTACCAACAAATCTCTTATCCCTCATGTGTTCAGACAAAAGCAATGACAACGGCCGTATGTTAGTCTTGTCAGCGCATTTACATGTAGTTATGTAAGGGTTAGAAAGACTGTCGCTCGTCCGAGTGTTTGATGTGAACGCGCAATTACCAGACCTCGGACAAGTCTTGTTTTGAAAGTAACAGCGGAACTACGAACATTATCGATTATTTGTATGTCCCAAATTGTAACAGTTACCAGGCTATCATCGGAGAATTCTGAGTGCGGGAAAAGATCACACACAACTTTGGGCTAGTCAACTACTAAATGCGGCATGATATTTCGGGAAATGGTGCTCCGAGTTCCTACTGACAAAAAGTTCGACGGGCGCTTCCCGCGATAAAGGAGAAGGCAGAGTAAGTTTTTAGAAAGATCAAAGAGTCTACAAAACAAGAAGGGCCACTTCTCTCTTTGAGCCAATTAAAAAAGTGTCCTCAAATTCGGTGGCGCCCTCTTCACAAATGCACACCCTTTGCGAACGGAGTGACCCTACTTGAGTTAAAAAAATCAAAGTGAAGCAAGTTTTTGAATAAATTTTGGAAGAATGTTACCCTGACAAAAAACCTCTCCCGGAGGAAAGGGTGATTGTTTTCTTCGTTTAATTTGACTTTAGAATGAAAGGCGAGAGGTCATTAAAATTTTTTAAAAACCTAAAACTCCGCACTGAACGAACCTGAACTGCTGATGAACAGCAGTCGATCTACGCACGCAAGGAGGTGCTATTCTTATTCTTCTTCTGGAAAAACGAAAGAGCTTCAAAACAGACTGCAGCGCCATCTAAAGCAAAGAGCGAACTTCCTGCGGACACTTGTTTGGCTGAGTGGCCCATCTTGTTATTTACTATCTTTGGAAATATCCGGCACAACAGCATGAGACTGGGACAAAAAAATCGGGATACACACGATCGAAATCGGGAGGATTGAGATTTGGGGAAAAAAATCGGGATATCCCGACTAAATCGGGATGAGTGACAGGTCTGATGTTACCTCCTGGCCTAACTACAAACAAGAGGAGGCAAGAATTCTGTGTTGAGGGCAAACTTGGTCAAATTAAAATATGACAAAGTTTTGATTTAGATTTAATAAAAGTTATACAGCACTTGCAGCACAAATATGTCATGAGCTGCCAAAAATAAGTATCTATTTTTTTAAATTCTAAATTTTAAGCCAGAGAGAGTTTTACACAAACAAGTCATAAAAGCCAAGATTAGAATTAGAGGTGCTACTGCTAGAAGAGAATAACAAGGAGGAAAGATAAGGACAATAGCAGAAGAATAGATGCCTGAGACAGAAGGAGTAAACCACACACAAAAATAGAAGTACAGGTCCGAAATTGCAGCTAAATTACGGGACATTAATTCCACCAGTGACGATTTAACAACCACTTAACAAGAATACACATACCAGCATTACCAGAGAATGCTGAATGGAGAAAAAAAATAATTAAAAAATAAATAAAGACTGACAAGAACACAACAAATACCAGAGAGCTCCAGGTTTATTCAGCTCGTAGTTTTTTTTTCTCTTTTTGTGTTTTTGTTTTTGCCCACAAGGACAAAAAATATAAAACTGGACATTTATCTCTACTACAAACTTATTACACGTAAGAAAAAAAAAATTCAAACAATAACAGGCTGAATACACTGACACTAAAAATAAAATAAAATGACGACTGATGATTAACTGCTACTACTACCTGATTGAAAGCGTATTTTTTTTTCTCAAGCAAATTCACCCTACCAATACCGCTATAGAGCCCTAATTATGAAGAAAAGAAGAAAGTAAGCAACAGCTTTGGGTAGAAAGAGGTAACAAATATAAAATTGCAAAAGAAATTTCACAATTCAAACATTTTCACAGAATGTAAGAATAGAATAATTTCATGGGACAAATTTCCAGCATTTTCATCAGCTTGTAAAAGAAACAACAAAAACATTTTGCTAAAATTGCAAATAAATGGGAACACATTTCATTTGCCAAATTTGATGAACAAAACTTAGTTCATGTGAAGCCATAAAATTATTTAAAAAAACAATGCATAATGCCCAAAATCAAGGGATGAATCAAAAGTAAAATATCGGGGATTGGTATCAATCCATGAGCCCTATTGTTCACTTTCTATTTTCTTCATACCCTTTGAGAGGGTGGCAGACCGGAAGAATAGGCTTTGGGGTAGGAGGGAGGCGACGGCCCCACAAACTAAACTAGAACCTGATCCTTGTCGCAATAAACACAATGTGGCCCAAGGCAGGGGTCACTAAATGATGATGCTTGACCCAAACTAGTGCTTCTCAATTTTACAGCAAAAACCACTTCAGCCAAACACAGACAAAGCAAGTCCACAAATAAAGAAATCAAAAGAGAACTCAGGTTCTCAAATTGATTTCTGGGATTGAAGCACATAAATTTTAACATTTCCAAACTTTAGTTGAACACAACCATCACTTAACGTATTGCCCTGGGGCACACTGTGCTGAGGGATAGATCTTGCCATGCTAGGAGTGAAGAAGAATGTAGTCTAACGCCCGGTCAACAGTTGCCATTAGCTTGAGAAACGTTCTATCTTGGCCCAGAAGCAAAGATGTAAGCAGACATCCTATTACCAAAGTGTTAGGGATTTTTAAAAAGAGCATTTACTCATAGCTTTCCACCAACATTGCAGCCATGGTAAAGATGTAAATAATCATATCCTTCCCGATGAGTACCCTATGATATACATGCATGAGTAGAAATAGATGAATATCGTTTTTTTCTTCTTCAAAAAAGCAAAAAAATTCACAGTTTATCTATGCAGATAAAAGCTGAACACATTAATTGTATGTAAATAAGTGGCTTTTATGCTATGGGTGATGATGGACATGGTAATGGTGAATTAAATAGGTGTAAATATAAAATGCAAATATGGAATGTAAACATAAATGGATGAATTTGCAAACTAAAATACTTTGAATACCCTGCTTTGAGAAATGAGAGTGCTGCTTACATCTTTGCTTCATAATGTCTTACTAGATTTGACCATTCCTGTGACACAGAATTCACCTGCACCTTAGAAAGATTATAACAACCTAGATCTTATTCCCCGAACAAAAAATACCTAGCACATGACGTGGATGGATGAAAATGCCTTCTGTCAGACCAATGTCATTCCTCCTGGTGACACAAACGGCGGTTTTATAATTTTTTGGGGTTTGTTTTTGCTTGCCCATTCCCAGCAAAATTTATGTTTAAAATTTAAAACAATTTTAAAAGATTTAACAATCTTGCTTTTGATTCAGAATCTGTGAATACACGGGCACACACCAGCCCAAGGTCTCAACATTGCATAGGTCAACAGGTCACAACTCCCGTCGTTCACGCCCTGTCCTCAATGTGGCTTCAGTTCGTCACTGACCGCATAGACCTGCTTGCAATGCGGGGGGAACTTTTCATGTTTCATCCCCACGCCAGACATGAATGGAGAAAATAATGCCAATTTATATATTATATAAAACTGTTCGTTCTTTGTCCTCGTGAAAGTCCAACAGAGGATTGGTCTGCACACACTCAGTCAACTGTCCCGTGTCCATCATTCCTTGCATCTGATAGGTTTCCCGTCTTATCATCCGGGGGGGCCCTTCTGCAGTGGATAGTCTAGTTCTGCTGTGCTGCCTTTTGGGGGGTATGGGGGGGAGTGGTAGGGGAATTGTTTCTTCCCCTCCATGTTCTAGTCATACACAAGCACACACACACATGCACACGCACGTTAGCCACCGTGCACAGTCATACTAGCAACTGCATGCTCTCCTGAGGTATAATTCTGCTGCTAAACATTGCTCGCAGGCATACAATAACTTTCTCACAGGTCCGACTAGAAACTAGACCTCACGCTCGCAATCCCGCCTGTCTGCCTTTCTCAACTTTTATGCCAATGAACCTGCCTGTAGAAGAATAGCAAAAATGTTCACATGAGTCATGATACCATGGAGAAGGATTCTTACAAGTGTCCAAATTTATGACAATCGGAGCAATCCATTTGAAAAGATCTAATGAAAAATAATACCCCCCATAGTATTGACTAAAGGCAAAAAGTTAATCCTTAACTGCATTGACCTCTTTTGTTGTATTAGTAGTGGCTTACGTGCTCGCCTGTATAAGGTCATATGAGCCCCAGAAGATTAGGTGTTACAAGAGAGTAACAAACAAAAAAAAAAGGAGGAGGGGAGATAAGGACGATAAATGTTTGATAGGAAAGGAGCAAACCACACCAGACACCCACAATGACATCTTTCCCTGGTTACTCTCCAAATCATCGGCAAAAGTAAGGAATAAATCCTCTCCCGCCTCCCAAAGAATTTCATATTACAGCCTCATACATAACTCAGGGCTGCCAACCCATCTCCATGGTTTTTAGCAATGACCATGAAGGAAATTAGTAATTTCCTATAAAAATTAGTAATAGTGCTCTCATTTTCAAATTACTATATTACAACGAACAAAAATATGCCTTAATTAAGGAAAAATAGGGCCTATCAGAAATTAAATAAATGTGAAGGCTTAACTCACTTCAGACGGGTCACACAACAGTTGCGTGACCCCCGCCGCGACGGGTCTCACAAGCCCTGCGTGACCAACTTTGGAATTTTTTTTTCGCTCTACAAATCACGCACGGATCGCGAGACCCGCCTCGTACCCTTGTTTGGCCAAGCCTGAGCTACTTAGACTTCGTTTCGTATCTCTGGGGCCGGTAGTTTTTAAGTTATTGAAGGTGAAAGACAGTGACCCCAACTGGGGTTGAACAGACCGGAACTCGCGCTTTGTTTTTTTCTATACAGCTGATAGTAATCCGACAGTCGCGTCGTAGTAACGGTCGAAGAAGTCGCATGAACAAGATCACATAATTTCGCCGTTTTCTATACTTCTGTGCGTTTTACTAGTTCTAGTGTCTCAGAATATGATGTATCTAATTGTTAGGATCCTGGATATGTACCCGAACACGGCCCGAGTCGTAGTTCAAGGGCTAGATCTAGCACTAGTACCGGTGTTGTTTTTCGCGCAACGAAAGCACAACATCGTGCCGTACATCTGTCTCATGTAATTCAGTGTATGGGTCTGAATCAATGCACAGACCAGCTTTTATATTTTCACCAAACACTCGCACATGTATACAAATCAAACCAGAACACTTTGAACTTTTATTTTTGTTGTTGCAGTGAATTTCATTCTACTTGTCACGTCTCTGGAAATTTTTCGGAAAATAAAATTCATGCCAATTTTTAAAAAAATCATACAAATTAAAGTATTAGACTTACACAACTTTAGTTTTTTGTATTAGTTTAAGCTTGAATGTTACTTTACTGTGTCAAAAAATGATTACAATAGGGTCATTCTGAGAGTTGTGGTGATTTATTGAAATACCCCCAAAAACACCAGTCTTCAACGCTTGTGACTGGTGAAAGGGCCCAGTCGCAAGTGAGTTAAGTTTAGCGTTAAACTCTCCTTTTAAATCACAAAATGGTAGATGATTGATGTAATGGATTTAGGGTTGCATTTCAGGCTCTGGTGACAGTAATTTGTTTTTATCAAGGATTTCTTGCCAAATCTATTTCCATCCTCAACCATAGAACAACATATTTACAGTCCTTAAATTCAAATTAAATTTATAGCCAAAATTCTGATGATGGTAAAAATCGTAATAAATCGCCTTACGCTCGGGATTTCGTAGTGAAGCTAAAAATCGGAATGCTTGGCAGCCCTGATAACTGGAACAAGTCCAACAAAATGTGAGCAAGTCAACAAGTACCCTCTCTATACAAAATGAACAGGAAAGAAAAATGACACTACCACAAGTAGGTTTTTATTTTGCATGTGTGGGTGTGTAAGTGTTTTACGGCGCTCGCAACAGCATAAGGCCATATGAGCGCGTGGGACACATTAAACATTTTTCGAACGAAAAAACATTGTTAGAGAGCAGGAAAGGAGGTGAAAGGAGAAAATTTTAGAGAAGAAAAATGTTCCTTCGCTATTCAGATTCGAACCCGGTACCAATTGAATGAGAGGCGAACATCTTAAACCCCTGGAAAACCCCATACAAGCAAGTTTTTTTCGGTACAGGTTTTACGGCGCTCGCAACTGCATCAGGTCATATGAGCGCCAGAAGATTAGAAGTGTTACAAGAGAAACCAACATAAAAAAAAGAAGAAGGGGAGATAAAGGACGATAGATGTTTGATAGGAAAGAAGGACGAAACCACACCCGTCAACCACCCACACAAGAAAGTTTGTAAATTGTAAAACTTCCAAAAGAGAAATGTCAACCTTTGATGGGTACTTGGAATCAGGAAAAATAAAAGTTTCAACAACTTTACACCACACTTCTGATATGAAATGTCGCACCGGAACCCCCCAGTAATTGCCCCCCCCCCCCAACAAAACAAAGCATGACATTCATAAACAAACCTGAGAAAAATAAAGACGAGCACTGCTCATCATCGTCTGTTGAATCCACCCCCATAGTTGTTGCCTGCACCGTAGTTGTTCCCACCATATCCTCCTGCGTGACAAAAAAAACCACCATTGATGTAGTCTCTAAATGTATCCACCACATCAACATGAACATTGGTTAGATGAACAATATACATTGTTGCTGCAGGACTAAATGGCTGACTCGATTTCTGCAAGTTTACAGAAGAGTGAAAAAACTCAAAAGCAAGACGTATAGACGGTTTACCTGTTTAGAATCCAATGTAGCAACTACTTGGATACGTTAATCTGGCTGAAAATTATTTATAAGGATGTGTTGTGATGCCAGTAAGAATTCCAAAGAAAAACTATGCACCTCATTTTCAGAGTTCTGTTTAGAATCCTGCAGCACCAACATGTGCAGTTATGCCACCAAAAGTACAAAGTTCGATCTCTATGCTATGCCCTATAAAAGTGTACCCTCTATAAGGGAAAAAAAAAAATCTTTTTATCAAACTTAACAGACCATGGGCAGAACAAGCTTTTTGATAACCCATGAAGCACTGAACATTTGCCTTAATAAATGGGACAACTACCCTTCTCTGTTCTAGAAGAGACCAGTAATTCTTTCTATGGAACAACATGACTACAGCACCTGCCATGTAGTGGTTATGCACTTCCTTTTCTCACCCAGAAGACTGGAGGTTGATTCCGGAGTGTGGAAAATTCTGAGTTCCTTAGTCTTTCTGCCATAGTCAGAAACCTGACTCCTAAATATTGATCTAAACTGTGTTGATGGGAGTATAAAACCACCCACACAAGGTGATTGCCAACCCGGCGTCTCAATTTTCCAGGGACATGTTACATAACAATGTCAGCATGTGCTCCATTTATCTACACACAAATGTAGGTACATTATATCCAGCCAACATCATGTCAGTGTGGCACTAGGGTTTTGTGTAACTTTGGTATTTCGGTCTTTTCTTACTTATTTTTACACCTTCCCCTCATCATATTCGCCTAGATATAAATATGAATCCTGTTTTGAGCCCGAGAAAGGGCTTAGAACCAGAATATCGACTGTCAAGAACCAGTCTGGGTGTCATGATTTATAATAAACGTGAAAGACAAAAATTGTTGCTCAAACTAAAAAAAAAAAAAAAAAGAAAAAAAGGAAAGGTTTCGAAGAGTCTTGCTGGCGAGTTTCGGTAAAAAGACATACCCGCACAAACCAAAAGTTATTTTTTAAATCTCTGCTAAAGAAATGGTATGTACTTACGTTGATTTCCCTGATGATGATGATGTCCGTAGCTGGGGAAATCATTGTACCCCCCTTGCCACCCTGGTCCGTAGCCGCCACCATATCCTGGTCCATAACCACCATATCCACCTAGGCATGAAATAAAATATCACACGATAAAACATTTGCCTCATGCACTGTTGCTTCAATACATTGCCCCGTGCACCATATAATTTTGTGATGCCAGAACCGGAGTAACTTCATTCATTTCCTTACTTATTAACCCAAAACCATGGCCACGATCATTGATTTTGTTGGAAGCCTTAGGTTAACTATCACAACAGTTATCTAGATCTTAAATTCTCATAAATTTGTGTAACAATTTTTGGTGTTGTCTATCAAATTCAGTTTTCATTTCTCTAGTTTTTGTTCTTGATATTACCAACGGAAAAACATGTCCCCAATTTGGAAGCACTCCACCCAGTCTCATCTGAAAATCATATTTACCATGCAATAATCAGGATAGTAAAAAACTAGTCTAGCATGCACATAGCAGATAGCAAAATTGGAGGGACACTGCCATCTTATTGTTTAGTTTTAGTAAAGGTTTTACTGCGCTTGCAACTGCATAATTTCATATGAGCGCCAAGGGGTGGATGTCAACAGCAGGGCTGCCTACCTCAAAGGTCGCATTTCAGGTAGATTCAGGGTCATTTTCAGGTAGTACAAAGACAAAGAAGAAAAAAAAGATGATTGTTTCCCCATCGAACACGCTTGCTTTCCGTGATATTGGGTAATTATATTTTGAAAACTTGTTTGTGTGTGCGTGTGTCTGTGTGTGTGCATGTTGCCATGCTCTCGCATATGTTTATATATGTGCATGGGGAAGGAAGGGGGTGTTTGGGTGTGCACAAGTTACGATGAACAGTGTGAATGAAATGAGGCGAGGTTTTAAAAAAAATCATTTTATGGATTATTGTTAATGGCACCCATCATTCAGTATTGAATCTGGCATTGAGTGCAGGGTGATTGCCAAACTGACTTCAAAACCCCTAGCCCATACCAATAGAAACTATATCAAAACATATTTCCCGTCACTAGAATAGGACTCTGATAAGTCCTAGTGACTTAAATATGAAAGACAATTAATTTTAACTAGTTTTACCCTAAAAATACAAAATGAATCCTGATCTGGGCCTGAGGAGAGGCAAGAAGAACATCAACTGCCAAAACCATGTTTGGTTTTTAGTAATCACGAATTTTAAAAAGCATGCAAGACAAAATTTATTTATAAAACCTTTACAGTTAGGCTCACGGCAGAGCAAAAAGTGAAAATAAAAGAGAGGGAGTACTGAAAGCCCGAGCTGGAAGGACTGTGAGTGTGGGATGTAGTAATGCTGAAAACCTGGTAATCAGTGAATCCCTGCATCATGGATTAAGTGTTGATTTTTTTTCAAAATGCTAAATCACAGTACCAGTATTTAATCAGCAACAAGCCATCATGATGCATAGGCATCCAACATAGACCTTTCCGAGGGTTGAAAATGGCATTTCCTTATTACCACTATTCAATTTGTCATCACTCACAAATCCGGGAACACCAACCTTAAAGACATAATCATCAAGCCTGTGCTCTAATGTTCCCTCATTTAATTTACGCACTCAATAGTCGAATGTCAAAACCACTTCCACTTATCGTGCTTATAAATTTATCATCAGTTTCTTGCACCGCGTCGTAGACTTTATTGCGTGAAGCACCTCCCCTCAATCTCGACGCCCTGCAACACCCCTACTTAGAATGAACTTGGTTTAGGCTTTCCCCAACAACCACGGGCCCGGTCCCTTACTCATGAAACTCTCACAGGTTCATTCATCGGTCACGATGACGGGCCCGACAATCTAAAAACCGGAGGACGCTTGTTTTCTTTTTCTCCCTTTTTTTGTCATTATAGTGACATCAGTGAGAATATTGATTTAACTTTAATGGCGACACTGTTTTTTCTACGCACAAACCGCAGGCTACAAATTTTTATTAACTGTAAATCCAACATTAATGAACTATCATCGAACAATTCTGAACGGTAAAGAAAGTGAAAGTAGATTTTGATTTTTCCGACGGAGTCTCTGTATTACACCTACACTTCCGCCTGCCACTATAGCCGCTCATCCGAGGGAAACATACTCTCGGGCTGGGGAAAGCTGAACGTAATAACGCAAACGCGACAGGGAAAATATGAACTCGGAAGGCTTTTCAGATTTAGTTTCGAGGACTTGTGCATTTTCTCGGGTCAAAGCGATTTTTTCCCCCCAGATTCCCGGGTAATAAATTCCTGCAGTCCCCCTGCATAGAATCCTCTTTTGGTACCCACTAATTCTCTAGACCAAGACAGATTTTAGAAAATGTTTTGCTTCGACACCGATTTCCCTTCTACATCCACAATTGTTTTCTAGATAAATGAATTAAATGCACAGATTTTCCAGCCGCAGCAAAAAAACCCAAGATAGACAGAAGGAAAGAATGAATGAAAAGGAGGAGGAAGATTATCTATCGCAAGTAGACAGATTTTAGCCGATATGCATGTGAAAAACTATTGCCAACCGAACGGCACAGATAGACAATGGTCGAGTGTACGAAATGCGCAATCTGGCAGTTTCTAATACAACTTATTGCCGAGAGTTGACGTAAATATCTGATAAGTTACGGAGGCAAGTGCTGATCTCTCTCTCTCTCTACGCATGGAGTTGATAGGATGATGCGGCAAGTGCGGAATTTTCGGATCTCCCGTAAAAACAAAGAAAAACGGAAGCACTGTAGAATGTTTTTTTCTTCTTTCGGCACCCATAGCAAATCCGGTAGTTTTGACACCTTATCGGTATGGCGGTAGAACAGGCCCAAAATCGGTAGATTTAGGCAGCCCTGCAACAGAGAAGTCCTTACAGGGAATCAAGACTTACTCTGCTCACCTCGCTAGCTTCAACAGCACAAAGTCTGCTTCGTCTATCAAGGCACCCCGGAAATAGAGGGTCACAAGAGTGTGACAAACATACAAAACAAGAGGAAAAATGACAATAGTAAGGATTAGCAAAGAAAAAGCAGTAGTTCCCTCTTCAGTGCTTCCACTAGCTGAAGCTGAAAAGTAAAGAAAATTCTGCAGGGGGTCTGGAGTGTCCTAGTCGGAGTTCAGGGGGCTAAGCCCCCAAGAAATGAAATTTAGTGCTTTTAGAGGGTCGAAAATGGCATTTGGGAGCCTGTTTGAAGCGATCGCCAACAACACATATTTTCACCAAGATTTTGTCTTGTTTGAATTTTACACACATATCTTTTCATTGCTGTTAAAAGCAGTTTCCCCTTCCATTGCTACTATAATTCAATTAATTTGTCATTGCACCATTGACAGAAGGCAAACCTGGGAATAGTGAATAGATATATGTACCTTCACAATACAGTTACCCTGTGTATACCCTAACTTTCCACAATTTTCACTTCTGAATGTCGCATGTCACAACCTCGGAACACCACTTCGAATTATTCTTGATTTTACTGGTTTTAGAACAAATTCTTTCATCGCGGCCCTTTTCGAGTTCCTGTTCCCACTGATAATTTCTTTAGATCTAGACCATAAATTTGCGAAAAATTTTCCTGCTGGCAGTAATTTTCTAAGATCACAAGTCAATATACTTGATCAACGCGCAGATTTTCCAGCCGCAGCAACATTCTGAAGATAGACGGAATGAAGGAATGATAGAAAGGAGGAAAGTGGCACAAAAAGTTAGCCAGATTTTGATCAATCTGCAGGTAAAAAATGTACTGCCGACCAACCCGCAATGAATGCATGGGGCATAGCGGACTAATGACCGATGGCAGGAAATGCGTAATCTGACAAATTTCTATACTGTAACAAACTATTGCCATGAGAATTACCGTAAATATCCGTAACTTATACTTCACAAGACGATACGAAGGCGAGTACGGGTCTTTTGCTACGGAATTTCGGTAGTCCTACGCAGCTGCAGATTTTTACGGAGGAAGTTGATAATGTTGGAGGAACAAGTAAGAAACTGGATTTTTTGTTACGTATGAATTTCATGATGTACATTTTAAATACAAAGAAATATATGTATAAGAACAAATTTGGGACAGCAAAATCTGGTAACTATGTATGTGCTTGACTGTATATATAGTTTTCATAAAACACAGAACTCACCGGGAAACCCATGGCCATATCCATAATCTCCACGACCTGAAAGCCAAAAATAAAAATATTAGAGGGTTTAAAAAAACAAAACAACAACAACAAAAGAAAACAAAGCAGAAGAACTGTTACCAAAGAAGCACACTGACATTCACGAGAAAGTTCAAGACAGCAAATGCGCAACCACAAGTCAGAAACAACAGAGAATCTACACCTGGTTTCTCAAAGTAATCATCTATGTTACAGAGTTTACATTAATTAATACAGAAAGAGTTTTACAAAGGATGGACAAATTCTAAGTATAACAGAGCAGTGAATCCGGATACTTTTCAGACTAAGCCAACAACTTTCATTTGAAAGCTATGTACAGGGTCTGTCAGAAGGTTATGGTGACTCTTACCTCCTCTACCCATGGGCATGCCCATGCCCCCCATGCCCACTCTGCCTCCTCCCATCCTTGGGTCACCCTCACCCTTGGCAAATGCTTTCTTCAGCTCCACCATCTTGTTATTCAAGCTGATCCTTTTCTTCACTGAAACGAACAAAAATCAATGAAAGTATACATGAAAGCACTGATCAGCAATGCTTGCATCTTAAATCAGAGTACCAAAGAAATTTTCAATTTGGTGCTCATTACTGTTTTTCTGTCCTTGCCTATCTATTGTATGTTTTCACTAACAGTGTTAGCGTAAACACCATTTTGCACATTCAAAATATATTAATTTGAAAAAAAAAAAACCCAACAACAACAAAACAGAACAATGTCCTATAAATCAAATAGACAAAAACTCAGCTATGAAAACTTCCTTACTCTAGAGCTGCGAGGACAAGATGACTCATAAAACCATTGGATTCTGATACAAATTAATCAGTTCCAATTATTATGCAAAAGTAAGCATTAAAAAATGATATGCAGTTAACAATAATCAAAGAAAAATGCATTTCTTCAAGCAACATGTGGTATTTGTTAAAATTTTAATTCTAAGTAGAGTGAAATATTACTTACAAACAAGCTTGTCTACTGGATCATAATCGTTAAAAGTGACAAAGCAGAATCCTTTCGTTTTTCCGGTGCCCTTATCTGTGATGAGTTCGATCAGTTCAATCTCACCAAACTCGGCGAAGACATCTCTGATCATGTCTTCTTTAGTGTCTTCCTTCAGGCCTCCAACGAACATTTTCTTCACTGATTGTTGGGAGGTGAGGCAGGGATCCTTGACAGGAAAAACATAAAGAAAGAAGGTGAATCATAAAATATCACATCAAGAGTTAAAACATGCATTATTCTGAAAAAGTACGAGGCAAATTATCGACAACCGGACTGGGATATTAGGGTCTATTTTTAACATCTCAAAATTACATTTTGCACCTTACACCAGGCTTTCACAAGAGCCATACAAATGTATCTGATAAAAACATCCCTTTCATCTACATAGTTGAGTAACTTGACAAAATATCATAAACACAGTACAGCCCCCTGATCAATATCCACAGCAGTTTCTACTAGACAAGGATGGTTAACTGACAAAATGAATTGGACACCAACAAAAGCATTAAACCAAAATGCATCATACTGCAGTTCATTTAATTATTTGTCATGTTTCTCTCAAACTTCCAAGACTATATGGTAGTCAACTCACATCTCTTGGCATGGCACGTTTTGTCTCAACATCACGGTCATCAATTTTGTGGGGTCTGTCTTTTTGGACATCATCTACACTTTCCTTCAATTTGTACTTGATAAAGCCAAAACCTCTGGACCTGTAACAAAAAAGAATATACTGGGTGCATACAAATATTCTATGGCAGGGGGAAAAAAACAAACCTGCATGATTTGACCAACACAAGACCTCACCTCACAAAATGTCCACTGTGCATGCCCTGTTGTGGACATCTCATAAATAATTTGTCACTGCCAAACTCGAACCTATATCTAAATTAAGTCAAATACATTAAAAAATATCCTGTAACTTTCTCATCATCTTACAAAATTATTCAGTTTTGTTGCGTTTTCTTTTCTCAATTATTTCAGCATCACCAATTGTACAACGGCTGAAAACGACATTATTCCAGACAAAAGAAGCGCTTGATGCTTGACCCAATTTGACAGACATATGGTCACTTTTAAGGACAAAGGGGCTAACCCAGAATCTTGACCTTCACCAAAAGTGGGCACTGCCCTACCTATACGAGAAGTTTGATTTCATTAAGTTTGTATTCGTTAGGGAAAACTCCCCTTGTCTTTTAAAGAAACTGAACAAGGGTCCTTTGATTTTCTCAAAACAGCATTTTTCGGGACCCCCCTTGCGCCCAATAGCAACGACATATGTTAAATATACAGTTAAGAGTCAGACAACGAAGATATAAATCTTTACATTATACCAGGTCTGTTCTCTTCCAGGACTTCCAAATATCAACTGCTGCCATTTCATGTCTTCAAGACCAGAATTTTTTCTACCGAAGAACTCAAAGCAAAAACATTAACCAAAAACTAGTTCCAGGTGAAATCTAGGAACTCTGCAAGCCTAAAACATGACATACATGAAGAACAACCCCCCCCCCCCGACATTCGCATACCTTTTTGACTGTGGATCCCGCATGACAATGCAGTCTTTGATTTCGCCCCACTTTGAAAAATATTCCTTAAGACTGGCCTCAGTTGTCTCAAAGCTCAAGCCTCCAATAAAAAGCTTGTGGAACTGCTCTGGGTCTGGCTCACTTTCTCCATCACCACCACCATAGCGCCCAGGGCCCCTGTTGTATCCCATAGGGCCACCCATCACTCTCTGTTGGAACTGATGATTGGGAAAACAAAAAACACATTTTAGAAATACAATCTTCAAGATAATATAAACATCCAATTACTTACTGATGCACAAATCAAAGCCCCAACCAGAAACAACACAAGAGCTCAATTTCCACGTCTTAAGCAGGGAATATTAAATCATCAAAGTTATCATTAGAACAGTTCAGCAGGGCAAGACAAAACGGGCACTTAGAACTCAAAACCACCAAAAGCTCATACAGTAAGCTATTTCACAAACTGAACCGTCTATTTATAAAATACCATTAGCATGTGTTCTCAAACACCCACATGGATTTGAAAAACCCAACAAAATCTCCCCTCACAACAGTTTCAAATTCTTTTTACAAACTGTTCCATGGTAATTTCCTTCTCAAATTCCCTTTAGACTGCTCCAGCATTTTAGTTTCAGTATGATTATCTTTCATTGTTCAGCACACTGGCCAGCCTCCAGGGGACTGACTTTCAGACGTGTTATTTTCTGAGTATCCGAATGAAAAGGAAAATGTTTGGTGACAAGCACCTAAATTGTTGTGCACATAGGTAAATTAATAAATGAGCTAGAATTTTTTATGTGCCCTAATGAAAGTGAACAAACTATAGATTCAAAAGTATTACAAACTTGATAAACTTGATTGTCTGACCACGCAGATAACGCAGGTGTAGACCTGCACAACACATATTTTTTGATAACTAGCCCAAAAATACTTCACTCAAGTGTAGGCACTACACATATGTCTTTGTCTAAGCCCAGGGACGCCACAGCTTCATTAAACAAAAGTGTGTATGTCTGTATGTGTCTTACAGAATCTGCTGTTACGCGGTCCACTTTTAAGGCATATTTTAATTTTTTAAGGGTGGCGGGCACGCTACACTCCAAAGTCCTGACTCGGCTCAAAATTTTGGAATTTGATTTGTAGGCATATATTTTCACTCCCTCAGCCGTTCCTACAACTATTTCATCGCATAAGAACCCATAAAAGCCTTATTTCTCAACATACCGGGCATGTTTGTCACCACCATTTCCTCATAAAGTGAATATTTAATTTTTCTTCATTGGCCGTTTTCTCAAAATGCGATTTCCTCTATACTTTTTTAAATAACTCCGTCGTTCTTCATGAAATGTTCACAGAATGAAGAGAAGATGTAATAAAACAAATTTGTTGAATTTTTTTATATAATGGAATAGACTTGGTGGTGTCCGCAGTAAGGATTTTTTTGTTTTGCAAACTTGAATACAACCCCAGGAAACACTTCATTAAATTTTTTTAGCGGGTTGGAAGGAACTGCGTTAGCTGTATCATTCATCTTATCCTGTGAAATGCCTTCGGGCCGCGGGAGCTTCTGCCCAATTCTTATGTGAACTTGTGTGCTAAAAACAAAAATGCCTGGGCCGCGGGAGTTCTGGCCAAATTTTGCTGTATGCACCTAATAATTTATAGTAATGCCAATGAAAATTTAAAGTTTCACTTTAGCCCTTTTTTATTTGGTACCTAAGAAAGAATTTTCAATTCTAAGAATTATGCTTCTTGAATTTTAAGAATCGGTTCATAAATAAAAAAGTTATGGGGTTGTAAAGGTCGGCAAAATATGGATGACCCACATATAGTAAAATACTCCTAAAAAGCGGACCACGCAGTAGCAGATTCTGTAAGAAAATGGACGATATCTCGGTAACTAATCGGAGTGTTAGACAGAAACTTGGTTACCCAATGTGTTTTTGGGTGTATCATTTCTGCAGTCAGATTTACTAGCCATTTCGTAGTTATTTTTTTATAATTAAAATTTTGGTGTACATATAACGATTTTGCGAAAAAGGGGTGTCAGGATGAGTCCATTTTATTTATAGCATCATATCATAACATGGGATCTTTAAGAATATATGTCGACAGCGTGACTAAATAATTGCAAAGCTTTTTATGATGACTTTAGACCATGCCAACCGTAAAAGATAAGTTAATTCAATCTAGCATGCCGTACAATTAAAAATTCTTTTCCCCCGTTGAGACACGAACACCCCGAGATGAGATAACCTCGCCTCGGAATACTCCCATTGCGATGTTACAGGGGAATAGAGAGAAAAACAACGGGATGCGCGCGCCCGCCATTGCCTTATTTCAAGTGACCAATGAACGGGCCCGGAATAGTAATGCGGGGATTTGTAGGTCACATACATTTGCAGCGAGAGTGAGGGGAAAATGGCCGGTCTCCTTGCGAAGCCGCTTTGGATAGGGGGGTAGTCGTGCATTTATGATCGGGTCTAAACAACTACTTGACACAGAACATTCAAATTTGAGCACACTATAGAGGACAGATAGATCTATTACCATTTCGGCGCGGGAAATTCAAACTCATAGTTTTCGGTGTACACGATACGAAAGTGTTCCCGACACCAAAAGTATAGGTTAATTTATGTGTACGAAATTCAACGTCCACATATCATTAGTTTGCCATATTTTCTGATTGGTTGCCGAGTTTCATTCAGATTGGTTTGGAAATAGAGCACACCGAGGTAGACAAAGTTAGTCACCTACGCTTCGGCCGGGTCCGCAAAAACCGCCCGCAAACGGGGACCAAATTTTCGCCGCGCGGGAAAGCCCGATTGACATTGCTATAATTTATTACCCTTTGGAATTCCTCGCTGAGATAGCTGCCCAGTTTTGATAAATTATAACATTTTTTTCATAATATAGTATAGTATAGTATAGGGTTTTACGGCGCTCGCAACTGCTAAAGTCATATGAGCGCGCTTTTCATAATATGATCTTGTTGTAACTTGTACTTGTTGAAAAATAAATAGATTCAGAATGCGGGAGCTTTTGTCCAATTTTGTATGAAGTACCGGTAGCCTACTTATTAATATCACAGCAATCTCTAAAGAATTGAATATATGGTCTCTTCCACAGGTTCTATCCTGGTTCTTGGAGTTATTTGCAGATCAGATTGTGACTGAGGGGCAACTGCAACACAAGATTGAAGCCACCAGGAAGAAGATGAGTCATCAACCAAAGCTACAAAGCCGCAATTTCACGATTACGAGTCCGGTAACCTAACCTCTAGGCCAGTGACACCACCTATTCTTGTCTTTAACCCTCCTCATGCGGGAGCCGGGTTTATGTCGCCCGTAAGCCTATTTCGGCACCTCGCCTACGTTCTGGTCCCAAATCAGTGTAGCCCCTGGCTCAGCGCACGCGCATCCTCTTACGTGTCATTCCGGTCCCGAGTCGGATCCCCATTCACGCAGGTCAAGTGTGCGCGCGTCAGTCTGCTCAAGTTTGTGTGCGTTTGTGGCCTTCTTCTAGAACCGCCCACGTTGGTTCGTAATCGAGGCACACATCTCATTCAAAACATGCCAAGTTGGTAGCTCTAGATGTTTGTCCAATGAAATTAGAGCTCAAAAGGAGTCAGGAAACAAGACTTCCATTTTTCAATACAAAATATTTCAAGTGAGCTTGATTTTGTATGAAATGATACTACCTGATAAAAAATAAGCTTGTTTGATAGTTTTGAATACCATTGTGCAGGTACAAAGAACAATTTGAGTGTAAAACATTCAGAAATTGACCTAAATTATCTCCTTTCGAACCTCAGGTCATTCATAACAACAAGAGCGTCCAGAAAGGTTATTCAAATTGGCGTAACTACTCGTAATGTCTTATAAGCTTGTGAGAGGGAGTTATTCATGTGTTTGTAACACTTTATAAATAGAAAGCTATGAAAGTGAAAGATAGAGCGTTATTTTCATAATCAATTAACACACTCCCGCGGTATTCATGGCGAAAACATGTTTCCCGGCACGCACGCTGTGTACACCAACAGCACACACTGAGTGACCCCGGCGGCCTGCCCGGCACGTCCGACGTAATCGGTTGCTGATAAGATATATGCATCTGGGCACAGACGCAGGAGAAGAGTTAAAATAAGGACATATGTGAGGCAGCATGGCGGAATCAGGCTCTCGTCAATTTTTGGTCATATTGAGTAATTGGTCATCTTAAAGCCTTTTCCTTTGCCTTGCTTATGGTGGAAAAAAATATAATCTATGTTGAGCAGAAGTCGAGATATTTGCAGTTGAAACAGGAGAGGGTTGCCTGGTTTCAGAGGTAAAATTTACGAGAAAACGGCCGCCAAAGTGTGGACATTTCCATAGCTTGAGAGTCCCTGAAAACTGAACATTTTGTTTTTGTGCCTTTAATCACTGTTTTTTTTGTAAAACCACTACAGAAATAGATTTTTTAATAGACATTAACGGTGTGAAGCAAAAAAGAAAAAAAAAAGAAAAAAAAAAAAAAGAAAATAATTGTCTGTGTGACGCCTCATTCATATACTGTGAAACTCACAAAATGGGCTCGCAGTCAATGTGTTACATTTTTTGTGTGAAATGCCTCGATTTTTCACTTTTACATCAGGTCTAAATTTCTTTCTTTTTTTAAATATTTTTTTTTTTTACAATTATATAAGAATTTCTTTGAGTTTTTTAAAATACCATTATCCTAAGCTTGAGAGAAATATAAACATTTTGAGTTTCAGATAATTTTTCTTATGATATTCATGTTCAAAGCTGGCAGAATTTGGACTTTCTAAACATGTCCTGGAAAATTCTAAGTCAGAAAATCTTTAAGGTCGTCTTTATTTGGACTCGAGTCCGAATTTTTAAAATTCATATTCAGAATCGAGTCCGAATATGAAAAAATGTTATTCGGACTCGAGTCCGGAAAAAAGGAAGTGTCTTCGTTCTATAGAACTAACGTTCGGTGCTTCCAATTTTCCGCCATTTTTTAGTTTCCCCCACACCTTATCTGCCGATCCGATCCCCCCCCCCTCATTGATACGCCCCCCCCCAGGTTTCCCACTTTGTTGTAGAAAAAGGTCAAATTGAAGATTAGCAGACCACCTGGCACCATTTCGCCTCTCTACCCAGCCAGAGGCGAGTCACGAGTGAGGCAGGACAGGAAGCCGGAAGTGATGCCATGCTGGACAAGAATCAGAGTCCCAATAACATTTTTCATATTCGGACTCGAGTCCGAATAGTCACTTCGAATCTTTTAACGTTTGTAACTTTTTTATTTATGAAGATAATTTGATCTGGTTTTTTGCATTGTTCCTTATGTGAAAAGCAGTATCTAAATAAAACGGTATTTGCAATTTACAAAAGGTTTGAATTTTTGGTTTGTACTAGAATCTACCTACACACAGGGGTGGGAGCTATTCTCAGAAGGTGGTCTTGGTGCTTTTTCGGTAGTTCCCACCCCCCTTATTTGATTTGAGCCTGACCTACATCTAGATCTAGATCTATACGCGGTGAGCTAAGATATCAAACCTAACAACTGCAAAACATTAAATTATGGTAAAGGCCACCTCTATTCTCACCCGGGATGAGAATAGTGCAGGCGAGTCTTTTGGCTATTCTCACCCGGTGCGCGTTCACCGTTATAGCCTAGATCTAGGCCAACAAATTTTGCGTTCACCCTAAACAACAGAATTCTACACTGCGATAACAGAAACATTGTAGAATTCTGTGCCGTGAACAAACGTTCCATTACAACTGTAGCCTAGCCTACTAAAAGCGTACAATTTTGTCTGTGGGCAGTGGAGTGAGAGAAAGACAGAGAGATAGGAGTAGCGCGAGAACTTCCGGTCAAAACAAAATGGCGACCCGCGTAGTTCGGCTCGATTCGAAAAGTTAAATAGCTGTAGCATCTTTGTAGACAACCAAATTAATTTACTTTTGTATTTTAACATCATTTTTTAACTTTGTTTTGGTCAATTTGATCGTCCACACCTATAGACAGTATTCAGAAAGAGACAGAGAGAGAGAGATAGGGGAGGAGTAGATCCTGCGAGAACTTCCGGGCAAAACAAAATGGCGACCCGCGTAGTTCGGCTCGATTCGAACAGTGAAATAGCCATAGCATCTTTGAAGACGATCAAATTAGCTTACTTTTGTGCTATAACGTAATTTTTTCTTGGCTTTTATCGATCAATTGGATCATCCACACCGATAAGACAGTATTCCAAAATGAGGAAAAGCAGGTCTTGTTTCGCACCGAGTGAGAATAGCCTACGCTGGCAATTCTCACCCGGGGTGAGAGGTAGAGATCGTTTTTCTATTCTCACCCCGGATGAGAATAGCCACTTCCTATGGTAAAACCCCCTTACTCTTGTGGCCCAAACCCGTGAATAAAATTGCGGGGTGGGAACTACCGAAAAAGCGCCGTGGTCTTCAGCAAAATCGTCCTCTAAATTGCTCATTGTGCTGTAATTTTGGTTGAAAATGAAAGAACACTACAATGCGATACACTAGTCCCATAGAATTAGATATCTAAATCTAGATTTGTAGAAAATTAGATCTAGATCTAGATTCTAGTTCTGGGCTAGATCTAGATCTAGATCTATGCTATTCTCAGATCGGGTGAGCCTGGGGCTTTCTGCTAGATCTGGATCTAGAATCTAGCTTCTTGATCTAGATTTTAGATCTAGATATCTATTGACTCGAAACTAATTTAAATAGGGTCTAAATTCTAAATCTAGAAAATCAAAGACAGCATTATCATCAGTTTCTCATGATTATCAGCATAATGAAATGAATGAATGGATCACCAAAGAGAATGCCCCCCCCCCCCCCCCCCCTCCATTCATCATGGGCCATGCCATCAGACCAGTTTCACATCAAAACAAAAATCTTAAAACCCAGTACTACAGCTGTACTATAGATAACTAGATCTACGCTTAAAACAAATTTTCATTGATTGAATTGGGCATGGACCTAAAAAACGAAGTAGGCCTACTACTTCACTGGATTCTAATAAAATAAAGTAGAGCACTAGCGGTAGCGAGGTGGATAATGAATTTGTTGGGTGTCGGAAGCTGAACAAAGAGAACCAGTGAGTCGTTCGATAAGATACACGGAATCTAAAAATTACAGCGTGGAAAGTCTCAGCTCTTCATATCTACAAAATTGCGGTGTTGGGGAGGCGTCATGCTCTTTCAACTTGATTTTTTAACGCACGTTAGAACCGTAGAAGGTCATTGTGCTCTTCGAGTGACCTCCCCGATACGCTGCAAAATGGCGCTGACCTCAAGAAAACCACGCGTTCTGTGGTTTCACATGCATTAATTCCACAGATGTAAATGAAAAGACCAAACTAGTACGTACAAAAACTTGCAAACTACAATAAGTCTCAGATTACATAACCCCAAGCTAATCAATCTTGATACTCACTCCTGGCATGGTGATTTTTGTTGGAAGAATAAGTTATTCAAAATTGTGCGTCCTAAACATATGACGCCAGTACGAGAAGAGAGCTCTGAAGTGTGTGTGAATTCCGAAAAAGCGCGCTAAAATAGTGTCCCAAATGAGAATATTCACTGCCCCGTTTGCAGCAGGCGGACGAAATTGGAAGTTCACCCTTTTAAGGACAAAGTCCTTCACTTTCTTCTTGACCTAACAATGAAGTTTGAGCTAGCCTACTTTATTCTTTTTAGTTATTTTCTCTGGAACTGTTTGCAGCGACTGTACTTCCTTACAAATGTGACAAGGTCGCTTCAAACTATAGGCGCCTATAAGTTGGTTTTGTTCGGTGTTTATAATGGTAGTTGTGTCGCAGCTTTAGCCTTGTAGGGTACTGCAACTAACGAACTATTAATTTTATAACTAGATCTAGACTTGAAAATCTACTTATTTCTTACATGTTTCAGATTCCTTTTTTGCGGTTAAATCGCCTTATTTTTTAAATTTTGGTTCCTTTTCTTCTTGCAACTGATTTTTCGGTGCTATTGTTTCCCACCATTAATAGCCATTTTACTATATTTTTGGCGGTGGGGTGGGGGTTGTTTTGTTTTATTTTTTTGCTCTTACTTTCTGTATACGCCAAGTGCGGCCAAGGCTGTGGTCAAAGCTAGCCTAGCCCACAGAACACCAATACTAATCTAGTACTGGTGTTCTGTGGCCTGGGCTAGCCAAAGCGACAACTTGATTGGAAAGCCCGCGGTGGTCTCAGGAAACTACACACTTACAAAATTTTACAGATTCGGAATTGGTGTGAAACTTAATTACGGTTTGCCAAGTCTCGCGTGAGTTGAACTCATTTGCATAATATTTTAGAGACACCATGGGCTATTTTTCGAGGTGGCATATTCGCTGAATTTTTAAAATTCAGAGCTTTAAATTGATTTACAATCAGTACTTGTTGGTAGAAATCACAAAGATAGCACACAAAAAAAAATGCATTTCCCCCCTCAATACTCTTTGAGCCTTATTTGTCACGGTGATACGGTAACTGAAGTTACCCTCAAAGGCCCGTTACGGCAAAGGCACAGAAACATCCCCATTTATTTTGCCCGCCTGACAAGGCCTCCTCTGTGACAGCCCAGCGATCGGCTTATAAGCTAGTACTAGTAGTACTAGATCTAGTACGTAATATATTATTACAGTGCTGTCAAAAATTCGTGGTGCAACTTATCCTCAAATATCTCTTTAACGGGTGAATCGATGTCATCCATACTTTGCATAGCAGTTTGTATCAACGTGTCTTAACTAAATGATATTTTTCCAGAACAATTGGAGCTAGATTAAAAAACTTTTCTTCATATATTTATATAAAATATTTGAAATCTCTGTCACACGTAAAATGGCATTGTTCATAGCACTTCCCGCTTCTCACTCACATTTTGATTATACATATGGCCTACGTCACAGCTCATCAAAGACAATTTTTAAAATTTTTACTTGCAAAACTTTTTGCACTTTAATGGCTCTCAAAACATACGTTCAATAAGCATAAATCATAATATCCCGATTAGAAAAATATGACGGACTTGCTATTAAAAGCAATATTGCCCCAGCTGTAAACATTTAAAAAATCTGTAGAAACGACCCTCTTGAATATTTTACTAGTTTTTATTAAGGAATTTTCTAGAATACAGCTTGCAGGTGTTTACACAAATGTTGATCTGTTAAGACAAATTGATACAAGTCATTGAGCAAAAATTGGAGAACCTATGTTCGATAGTTGAGGAGATATTTGAAAATAAGTCGCGCCACGAATTTTTGACCGTACTATAGTAATTGAGCCACACTTTGCGGTGACGTTCAAACCGCATATTTTTCTTTTACTGTCAGTATTTATATAATAATATATATATATTTGCCTTTTATTGCTGTCGTTAGCAACCAATAATTATTCCAGATGGTGGCCAGACTTTTAAAATTGACTTTACACTATATCAAATGAATGCAAAAACAATTATAATCAACTATGGAAGAAGAAGAAGTAGTCGTTGTTTAAAGTGTTACTCACATCAACACATGTTATCCTTCTCTATCTCTGTCGGATCCACACTTTTAATACTTTATACTTTATTTTATCCGACCCGTCCTCTTGTATCTCTAGCTAGGGCGTCGAGGGAAGAAAGAGCTTTCTGTCTCTAGAAAGTTTGATGGCCTGGCTGGGTGGGATATTGTATGTTCTCAGGGTATCCTTCACATCCTGGATCCAGGTCTTTCTTGGTCTTCCTCTTGCCTTGTTCCCGGATACTTTCTGTAGTAGGCTTTGCTGGTGAGGCGCCATACGTCTGATATGTCCAAACCGCCTGATTGTTTGTCTTCGAATGTAGTGGAAGATAGGTGGAGTTCCCATCATTTTTCTGATCTGGTTGTTTCTGACCGTGCCCCATCTGATTTTGTCGATGGCTGTCCTTAGACATCTCATCTCGCAGGCGGTCATCTTACGGTCCAGGCTTTTGGTCATGGTCCATGTCTAGCACTCATGGGTCAAGGTGGGGATGAAGATAGAGTTATTGAGCTTGGCTTTGGCTTCTCACTTTTAATACGTTCGTACCGGTACCAATTCTAATCCCCAGCGGTTCGGTTCATCACTTTCACTTGTCACGCAGTCTGGCACAACATCAGATTACATTACATCTCTCTCTCTCTTTCTCTCCCTCCCCCCCCCTCTCTCTCTCTCTCTCTCTCTCTGTCTGTCTGTCTGTCTCTCTCTCTCTCTCTCTCTCTCTCTCTCTCTCTCTCTCTCTCTCTCTCTCTCTCTCTCTCTCTCTCTCTCTCTCTCTCTCTCTCTCTTTCTCTCTTCGCTAACCAAGCAAGACAGTTCACTTTCTGAGTGTTGCTCTCCTATTTTAACCCCCCCGCAGTTTTAGTGTCAGCCTTTCTGTCTTGGTCATTGCACTTAACTGTATTTTTGCAGGAATATTTTGCACATTCCCAATGTTGGTGTGACAAGCCCCAGTTAGCGTCTTTTGTCTTCCAGGTCTTCATACTAATCATACGGCGCGCCCGGGTGTTCTCCTCGAGTTTTTATATTTTCATTTAGTATCGTGACCTTTGGTAAGAGGTGTCATGGTTATTTTATTTAAAGAAAAAAAGGTATCAGCTTAGCTCTACAGTCTAAATCTTTTTCCTAATATATATTTAAAAAAACCAAAAAAAAACAAAAAACAAATATATATATATATATATATATATATATATATATATATATATATATATATATATATATACTGCCAAGGTTGATGTCTACAACTGGCATTGATATAGACATGGGCAGGGTACGCATCAGTCTGAAATTTGCCCTCTTGATGACATTCCTATCGTTTCAGACGATCGCCAGTTTTGTTGTTTCAGTCGTCATTTGGGCCAATGTGGAGTTTTTCAGGATAAGATCCATCTTTTGGTAGAATAGCATCTTTACCCAAGAGTTCATGGTTTTCCACAATTTTGTTGATTTAATGTCATGCCAGTGGGCGCCAATCTATAGTTTTCTGCACCGATCTGCATGCCGTGCTCTGAAAAGACCTCTAGTACAAGTAATTTATTACAACCAACTTGCTCTTTTTTTCTTGTCCAGCGAAGCAGCCGATGTCGTCAGCAAGACACACGTTGGTAACTAATTGTCCTGTCTCCGATGCAGACTCTTCCCTCATGATCCAACAGTGCCCCAATCACTATTCTTTCAAATAAAAAAAAAGACGCAGGAGAGAGCATAAGTTTGGCGCACACCGGTTGGAACTGTCCTTTCTTGCTGTTATTTGTTAGTGTACAGAAGTACAGTCTGTGCTGGCAACTCGTTCATTTTCATTGCGATTCTGATCACAATGGTTTTAATGATGGAAGACCGCCTGGCTCCACAAAACTGCGTACTGGGTAACAATAATAACACATCAACATTTGTCGTATAGAACAAACCCCCGCTCAACAGCAAGCTGCGCTTCACAATATATAGGGGCCTACTATTAAAATACCCCAGCAGACCTGAGAGCATTCTGGAACAACCTCAACTTCCCGAGAAGCATACAGAGCAAGCGACCATTTATATGCGCTAAACTAAAACATTAGCATACAGAAAAGATCTATGGATGGATACCCATTCCCACCTGGGTGAAGTGAGGAAAATTCGGGTAAAGTGCCTTTCCCAAGGACACAATGTCGGGCTCGCGGTCAGGGTTGGGTTGATTTAAATTAGTTGATTTTTAAAAATTTAAATCAACTTGATTTTTAAAATAAAAATCAGTGATTTAAATCACTTAAAAAAATATTTTTATTCATTTTTTAAAACATATTTCAACATTCAGAATTCCTCTTCTTGATTTAATAAAACAGACATAGACTAGATCTAATATAATCATGCTTAAAAGTCTGTTCCCCCCCCCCCCCCCCGTCATTGTAAAATAATACAGTATTCAATTTACGTTTTTTTCATAATTGAAATTAGCATTTTCTTTTTCTTTTTAGACAAACACAAGCGCGCGCACACACACACACACACACACACACACACACACACACACACACACACACACACACATTGCAATAAAATGCAAGTTTATCTATGCATAATTACCCCCCCCCCCTCCTTTTAGACTGACATTTTTTTCATTTGTGAGGCAGCGTGGTGGAATCAGGCTCTCGTCAATTTTTGGGCATGTAGAGTTATTGATATCATCTTTTAAAGCTTGTTCATTTGTTTTTATTAGGATGAAAAAATATTCATTATCTTGAATACTAGTCGAGATATTTGCGAAAGAAGGAGGTGGGGATCACCTGTTTTCAGAGGTAAAATTAAATTAGTGAAAAAATGGCCGTCAAAGATTAGTTATTTCCTTAGCTTAACTGAAAATTTACATTTTTTGTGCCTTTAATCAACGTTTTTAAGAAAAATCCACACAGAAATGATTTCTTTAATAGTCATGAAAGGTGTTGAGCCAACAAACAAAATTTTTATAAAAATTCACAAACCTGCGGAAAAATGCAAGTTTCGTCACTTTGATTATTTTGACGAGAGCCTGATTCCTCTAC